GTAGTAATGAGAACAATTACTGCGTTCGATTTTGAAGGATAAATGCGCTGCCGAAATTAGAGGCAAATGGGACTTGTCAACTAATGTCTCAGGGTGACGAGCACAGTGGCAGTGCCACTCAGAGCTTTGTGATTTAAAACACTGAGTGGCACTGCAACTGTTATGGACAGGCGTATCCCTTACCACCGGCACACGATTTGTTCCTCCGGTTACTTTGTATCACGAAAAAAAATAATGTACTATAGCCTCGAAATATTCCGGCGTGATATCCTTTTAACCGTTTGACAAAAAACAGAACCGAAAACCACTCAGTATATACTAAAAATCCTTGCATACGGTTAACTGTTGTTCTCTTTAACGCCCTTTTTCTTTATCGTCATTGCGTACGTATGAAGTGGGCGTTGCGTGATATGATATCATACGAGACGTCAAGTAACGATACTATGATCCCCGATATTTACGTGTAAATGATGAGCGACAACAATTCATAATGTCTCCTAAGTAGGACGTCAACGAGTGGTGTCAAGATGATACCTTCCTAACATATGACACGCATATGTCTAGGTACAGTTGAGAAAAATTTAATCTATATACTACTTGGGGCTAGCGCAGTTTTTTATCGACGGCGAAATAAGTTATGCACAGTCAAGATTTTATTTATACAGTTTTGTTACATTGACTTTGGAGTTCGTGAGTTTGGGCATGTTGCCTAGTAACAAAGGTGTTGATGCTTTTAAATTATGAAGGACGACTTGTAAACTTTTATGATTGGGCGTAGTTTTTAAAATAAAATAAAGCTTCCGTGATTGACTACCAGTGTCTTTTTATCTTAAAATAAAATGAACATAATAAATAAATAGTCGTTTTTGTTTATTTTGAGTTTTAAGCGTCTTATTCTCATAACAGTTTCTTGATTTTTTTTTGAAGTCACTGTTCAAAAGTAGGCACCTATTCACCTGTTTATCTTCCCGTCTTTTCAGGTAAATCCTGCTCTCAATAAGGCATTAAAAAGTGAACTCGTTGCTGTAAATAGTTTTCTATGAAATCTTAGCTAATCAAATCCAAAAAAATAGTTTAATTTCCTATGATAATGGACTATTAAATTAAAAAATATATATAATTTAATAAGGAATATAAGTAATCAATTATTTATTAAAATAATTACAGGCACCTGGGACTTGTAAAACTTATGTCTCTAGGTGACGGGCGCAGTGGCAATGTCCCTCCGATCTTTGCGATTTAAAGCTCTGAGTGGCACTGCAACTGTTATGGGTAGGCGTGTCAATTACCATCAGGCACACTAAACGACGGGACTTGTTCGTCCCGTCGTTTAATGTCGTACAAAAAAGGAAATAATGTGCTAATAAAAAACTCTCAATTCAGCCGAACAACGTGCACTGCTGGACAAATGTACTTTGAAAAAGAATAATAATAATGTGCCAGACAACCACATCAATTACCCGGACTCGGTATTCACTCCAGAGCACTACCCATAACACCCAGACTGGCACTAAAAAAGCACACAATATGCTGTTTAATATTAGTTCTACATTATTTCATATTCATTGTTGTCTTTATAATAGGAACATGTACAAAGCCTAGTGGAAATGTAAAGTAAGACTGATCTAATTAACAGTAAAGTGATAACCCAGACTTGGCTTCAAACAGAGTGAGGTCAATAATCAGTAACTATAACTCATTATTCATAACATTTATACCGTAACAACTTCATAGATATCAAGCTAATATAAAAATAACCAACTTCATTTCATATACAGGGTGTCCGGTAAAGAATGGATAAGCTTGAAATGCCTTATAGAGCTTATGAACATTAAAAAAAATATAAAGATAAATATATCCCATGTGTACCTAAGATATTTTTTTTCTTTAAATTAATTATTTTCACCTTATTTTACGTTTTTGTACACCACGACTACAAGTTAATCAATTCCTCCAGTTTTTTGGTGTCATAATATTCTATATTAACTGTGCTAATAGATAGGTAGTAAATAGTATGACTAACTATGGCACTTAAATTTAAAAAAAAGTTTTATTTTATTTTTCAGTGCAAAGTTTTTTTTTTCACAAAGTTTAAGCATCTTTGATATTAAGAAAAAAACATGATAACCTGAGTGGCCAACTATTCTAAAATAATGTGTGTTTAAAGTCGATTTCAAAATGGTATAATTCATTATTGTATCTAATATGAATAGAAAATTATTACTGTTAATCTGCACTGGAGTAAATTTGACTAAAAACTAAGTTTTCAAAATTAGCCCATTTTTGTCTGGAATTAAGCTTGACCAATGAGGTTTAATAAAATAAACAATATTAGACATAAATACAACTTTATTTACAATTTGTTTACAGCAAATGTTCAAGCCGTTTGCCACTGACTCTGATGCAGAATAAAGATAAGAGTAGCCGCGTATATCGTCGTTATTTATTGTTGTAGCGGCTACGTAAGTCTTCCCAGGATCTGATCGGCTTACTATACAAAATTTCCTTAAGGCAGCCCCAATAAAAAAAATCCAGTGGATTTAGGTCCGGTGAACACGGAGGCCATAAAATTGACCCCAGACGAAAAATAAAAATAAAATTGACCGATCCGTCCATGCATGTTACCCAGAAGGAAGAATGCTTGGTAGTTGATTTTATTTTGGTATTAAAATTTTTTTATTATAATTAATTTTTTTTAGTACTTATAAATTAATAGAATAACATTCTTTCTTAAGTTTTCAAAACAAATGCTTAATATACAAGCTCATTAATTAATTAAAGATTAAATTATCTCAATATTTTCTAATTAAAGGATTAATAATATATTATATGAAATATAAAATTGTTAAAAATTGTCCTGTAATAATATAAGGATCTTCAACTGGTCGAGCTCCAATTCATGTTAATAAGATTACAATTACAAGGCATTTCAGGCTTATCCATTCTTTACCGGACACCTGTATATATAATAATAGTGTGCCAAATAACCACACCAATTGCCTAGTGTCAAAATAGGGAATTCCGTGTACTGAGTACCAGAGCAGTGGGCAATTCCCTTTGGGGCACTTCGCAGTACACCTAGACCAGAACCAATTTAGAAAAGCTCATTTCCCAGTTTGTTCCTACTAGGAATGGAAACCGGGTCCTCATTCAGCGTCCACAGTATAAACAGTAGAGCCACTGAGGTCAAATAATGCATAATTTTATAAACTCTCTATCATCTCCCCTTTTATAAATATCTGAAATAAATTTATTTTATTACATGAAATATGGTTAAATAAGTCAATTACAGGTAAGTGCTACCTCTCAGCTCACTGACACACAGTAATATAAATTAATATTAGTGAAATTTTAATTCTTAATTGTGTACTACAATATTTTTAATGGATTAAACATATTTAGCTAATTATGTAATGTTTTTGAAATAATTTTCCAAAGGCCAACACTTTCAAATTTTTTATTAAATGTTTCGATATCCATTTAGTGAACATTTCTTTACAATAGTGCTGTTTCAGGATAATAACTCTATATGTATGTGTCTATTTGTAATCAACCTTTCCCAATAAAAGTGTAATTTCAAGAATTACAATATAATTCATAATTAATTTATTTACTAGTGGAGGGTGCATGGCAAGGGTCTATGATCTCAGAAAGGGGTTGTAGGATCTGGTTAGATGATTGGACTAAAAGCAGTGTACCTAGGTCAATAGTTCCAAATAACTATACATACATTATTAATATAATGTATGTGAGGCAGGAAAGTCCTTCAATTCTTTAATGCTGTTGGCCTTGGGTCCAAACTGTAATTAGTGGTGCTCACAATAGATCAGTTAATGGTCGCAGTGATGCGGGGCCAGGGCATAGGCCCTGAATGAAGCCACCCTAATAATAATATCATATATTTTTATACTTATGTTACTATCTACGTTGCCACTATAGTTTAATATAAAAAAATTAATGTTTCATTCATTCATTAAAATATAAATTGTATAGAATTCCATAATAATAAGACACTATAATACTACGTTTTAATACACTGAATATACTCTTTCAACTCAATGAGGATACAGTATTTTATTAAATTTTTAATTTGGCAATAGTCTTAAAATTTATAGAATAAAAAATGTTTAAATCATAAATAATATTTTTAAGATTTATAATATGTATGTGTCTTGTATTACTGAGCTACATAATTTTATAACCAAGTTATTCTAATATTAATTTAGTTGCTTTACCTTATAAAAAGTAGAAATTTAGGAATCTATTTAGGAAAGAATTTAAGAAATATATTAACAAGTTGAATAACAACTAAAATAATAATTTTACTCTAGAATTCAAACGTTTCAATTGCTTTAAGTTTTTTCCTACATCACTTTCTTTTAGTGTGTTAAAAAAAATCACATTTCTCTTTATAGATCAATTTGCTATGATGCAACCTGGAGACAATGACATGAATATTTAATAATTTATATAAAAAAATGTCTCCATTTGAAAATGGTGATCATAATTTTATTTAATAAAATGAATTAAAATATGCATTAAGAATCCTTAAAAAAATCTAAAAAAATTATGCACATACAACTGAGTAATTCATAATACACTCATTGTCTTGCTACTTGGCAGTAGATCTTGAATAAGTAATTATTGTTTAAGCATACATAATATTCTGTCAGTCAATGTAATACATATGAGATGTTGTGTAATGCTTTGCACAACTTGTTATTGCAATTTACTTGATATCAACCATGCACATCGTCGCGTTTTTGGCACATGGTTCGTGACAAGTAATTGCACGAAATAATTCAAAAATTCCCTCACTCTTTACTAAAAATTGGTGCACATGGTGAGCATGGACCATTAGTGGTCACGTGACACCATGCCCACCAAAAGTCACATGACTCGCATGCACTCGCTGCAACCACACTAATAAAAAATATGCTTAAAAAACCATACTAATTCAACGTTACATAACTGAGGGCATGACCATTCTTAAAACTTACCTTTGTTAATAATATCGCTGCCACTGGTAACTTTCAAATTGGTGTTCGAGTGGGTTTTTTTCACTTTTTGGGGAGCATTTTTAGGAGAGTTATCATTCACTTCACTACCGAGAGCCATCACAACACGAGGAATCAATCCGGCACCGATAGACCGCGACGAGCACGGTTCCACTCTCAGCTGAAGCAGCACATGCGGTACAAATAAGGTTTAATTTTGATTGACACCGACTGACACAGTTCGAAGTCTACTGTTAACCGGCTAAATTCAGAATGACGTAATATGAGCGGGCTTATTGAATTTACGGCTACTCTTCAATTTTATGGATTACTACTTAGTACTTAAGCAATTCTATCGCTGGTTGATATCTACAATTCAAGTACAATGCTCGTTTTGCACGGTTCATTTCGTGATGAGCTACTAGTTCGAGCGGCAATGTACATATTTCAAAAAATATTAAAACACACAGGCCTTTCTTGTCAGCGACATCTGGTGGCCAGTCTCCAAATCTTTTAAATCAATGACGTTCCGAATTAGAACTGCGTTCAAAATAATGTAAAATGTCACGACGTTTCGTTGCATATCCATAGACAACATGGATAATAATCGGTTATTGATTCATGCAACCACGCAACACTACCCATAGAGTACATTAAACATACTGATATACCACTGACATTTCTACCAATAATAAACAATCGAATTACAAATTTAGAGATTGAATCGAATAGGTACTTACTTTATTACAATTAATACATTGATATATTTTAAGAGTTACAGAAAGTAGTTAGGCTGGCGTCCGAAAATTATTCGAAGGTAAAAAATCATCCAATTCATAATTAGACATATCGCCATTGCTGGCGGGAGTTATATTATTTTAAAACTTGCATTTTTCTAACGTCGTATACTCTTGGTTGTAACCATTATTATAATTTGAAAGAATTCTGAATTTCTCAATAAAGTGCTTAGACATTCAGCAAATTACGATTACTTATTTTTTTAGTTGAACCAGGTTAGTACCTTAACACGGCGTCTAAAGTACGAGTGAGCAGTGTGCGAGACTAATTTGCGCGATAGTTTCCATGCAATAATAACATGTCACATGCTCGGTTCATCTCAAAATGTGCTCGCGCAGTGCTCATACGTTACAAATCAAATGTAAATACAGCCTAACAATTTTGGATACAACTGCAGAAGATGCTAGATGGGTGGTATTGCCGCTCAATAGCGAACATGCAGGCCTCAGAGGCCGCGAGTGGAAGCACTTCATCACCCGTGGAGCCGCAACGGGCACGCGAAATTCACAAGGAATATTCAAGTGACAGTAGCAGCGACGTCGAACCAGAACCGAATTACCGCGCCCAGTATATAGCTCTTAAGAAGAAACTTAAATATCTAATTTATGTACGTGAATCACTAATTATTGTACTCACAAAGCCAATATTAATATGATGATGATGACTAGGTAGGTAGTCATCAAGTAAAAACTTTTGTAACAAAGGCAATTAATCTTATCAATTATTTAATATTTTCTTGTTCTTAGTGTGTTCGACTCTGACATTTATAGTTGTGAGGGCCAGTACTTTAATATTTTATATAAAATCAATAAATTTTGTAGAAATTTTATATTGCCATTGCTAGAACATATTGTCGCCTTACTTTCTCAAATTCATGCTTTATATATATATATATATATATATATATAAAGCTAGTGTGTAAATATGACGAAAAATCAGGTTGCAACATTTGTATATATATATATATATATATAGCTATACTAGCTTTTACCTAAACTTAAAGTAATGCATCCAAATTAAACCCTTGATAAGAAATTTAAAATAAATAAAAAGTTTTGCCATCTCCTGAATAATCACTCTTTATAAGATACAAGTTTGAGAAAGTAAGGCCACAATATTAGGTTCTAAAGATTATTGCAATAATAGTATAGTAATATTTACTACAAGACATCGTTTGAATTGGAGTGACAACAATGGACCTTATTTTCAAGCCCTCTGTTTAAGCTAGGGTTCTCACTGTTTCTGTTATTACTTTTATGAAGATAAATGAAATTAATTTAAATTTTCAGGAAAATGAATGCTTCCAAGATGCACTAAGGAACAGTCAGAAAAGACTGCTAAAAGTCTCCAGAGATCGAAGTTTCCTACTGGACCGATTGCTCCAGTATGAGAAACCGGACAGTTCCACTTCAGAGAGTGAAGACACAGAGTCATCTGATGACACAGAGTATCACAGAGTTGATGCTTTAAAGAGGTATTACTTAATTTAAAGCCTGATATAGTGGGTTCAGGTTTATCTGCTGCTGATCACAATAAATAGATTGGTATAGTAGGCTGGTGTCATAACTCAACATTGTAGCACCACTAGCTATACAGTTTTTTGCACATACTTCCACAACTGATTTGTGGCTGTACTGATATGTTCTCGGAGTGTATTTGGATGGTCTCATTCTTTACTCTTATCTGCTGCCAGCTTGATATCCTTTCGGTCAAAAACCTCTGTACCCATTAATATATTGATGTGATTCTGGAAGCATTTCTGCCACCTCTGGGAAGCCTCACCATTCACTCTCCATCGACAAGTGTTGTTGCTGTTTTTCGTCTTCTCTTTATCTTATGAGCAAGGCATCCTTTGCTTCCTCTGGGATTGGAGGGGGCCACTCACCAGTAACCAGATGAATTCTTGGTCCTCCAGGTTATCCACAGAAGCCTTTGAAAATGTGAAACATTCTTAGACTACACAATAAACAGAATAAGATGCATATTCAAAGCAAAACTTTGTCTATATATTAGACATTATCAACATCATAACCTGTTGGTAAAGTGGCATGAAATATACATATTGATGACTTTAAAAATCTATGCCATTTTACAGAAAGAAGATTGAAGCGAGTGCTGCCCACGTCACGTCCACGCCTTCCTCACTTGGCAAAGGCACTAATGCTATAAAAAAAAAGAGAACTGTCATCCCTAAGAAACAGGCCAATGTTAACCATCCTGTAAGTATAATGAAATATATAAAAGCAAACTATTTATTGCTATTTAAACATAATGTACATAGCAATTTACATAATAATAAGTTATGTATTTGCTGACAACGGCAATCATTCAGGCTGTTCCAGGTAAGTAAATAAACACATTCATTTATTGTCTCCATAAATAGTTACTACCAGTATTACATATGTAGGTTATAATCACATCACAATCCTAAAATAATGTAGTATCTTATGACCAGATAACACTAAACAGTCAGTTTAGAAAAACCACTATTTCTGATACATAATGTATGATTGTGGTCCCTTTAAAATAAGATTACAATATTGAAGTTGTAATAGTGTAATAAAAGTTTGACTACAGTGGCAATGAAAACAATTCTTATGCAAATATAGTTACTCCCACTTTACTCAGTCAAGTAAAAACTTGATTCAATGGTGGTTTAAGTTACTTTTGGACCCTGATATGGCCCTAGTATTGGACTTTAGACGTCAAATTTCGTAATGATATATAAAGAAGTTTGTCCTTTAAAATTCCATCATGAATGGTCCAAAACTAACTTTATTAGAGACCCTGCAGGCTACATACCAACTGAACAGACGATTCTCAGATCTTGTTTATTAATCTTAGAAGTGAAAAAGAGATTCAAGAGTCGACCTGTTGTTTTGTCTGTACTTTGCGGGGGTTTATTCACCAAAGCGGAGATAAGAGATGTGTTTAAACAACAGTTTGGATTTCGATAATTTAACTAGTAACGCGGGATATCAAAATATCTAAATCTAAAAGAAAAATAGTTGTTTAAAAACTTGATCTACTCCGGTTTGGTGGATAATGGGCGTTGCCTTTATTTACTATTAATATTACCTATATTCCAGCACCAATCGAACGCAGCACTTCTAGCGAAGGCGTCGCCAGCGCTTGGCTTCAGTCTAGCGGGAGACGGTCACATGACGCCCGAGGAGGTGGAGCGCCATCTACAGAGCCGCCAGTCCTACCTCGAACTGCTACCTGAACGAGCCCCGCCTACTGTACCCACCGAGATGTTCAGTAATGATCCTTCTTTGGACAGGTATGTATGCTAAAACAAATGTAGAAAGTTGACAAATCACTTTTTCCTCGAAAATAGAGGTGCCGTCGATGTTGGGTATATATAGTCATTTTGTCAGTAGATTTGATTCTACTGACAGAATGACTATAGATTCGAGAATAGATTACTCTAAGATTCCGAATTATGGCGAGGGTACAAAAAATAACAGTGATAAATTGTATGCTTTTAGTTATTTTAAATTACCTGAAACCTCTTAACACACATACATCACAATGAGTACACACCTGACCTAGATGCTAGTGAAATTGGATGTGTATGGCAATACAACAGGTTGGAAAGGAATGTATTTTTTTGTATTCGACCCCTCGAACAACGGAAATGGTACTATTGGAGTAAAATAATAAACAACGACGTGGACCTACAAATCTATATTTTAACTAACTTTAATTATTTCAACCGAGAATAAAACTCGAAGGACAAAATAGTAAGGGAGTTCTTATAGCGTAGTGCACAGCAAAGACAATCACTACTATAGCCAGAGCCTGGCATTACTGCAAGCGCAAGCGTATGCCACAAAGATGTGTGGTGTGGTCTGCTGTAGCAGTAGTAAACAACAGTGCGATCACAAAGAGTGAAACGAGCCCCAAAAATATAATGTAAATATGTGCCGCTGTTAGTTGAAAGCTTATAATAAAACTCCAAACCGAGAATATAACGATCAAAGAAATTAAATTGAAAAATATCTATTTTTCTCTTGTGGTAACATCATATGTTATGAACCTAGGATAAAATAAAAATAGTAACATGTCGGCCTTTTTTTACTGGTCACGGCAATATCCGTAACATTTTTTTAAATGTCACATGCGCTGTTTAATCTAACGGCGCCAGATATAGAATGTACCTTCGACTGATCGAGGATGGAATACGCCTATTAGGCCTGAATCAGGCCATGCAGCTTGATTTTGGTTGCCTCTCCCGATCGGAAACTGCGTCTTTTCCGAGTCGAGGCGTATAATATTACGAATGGGCTACTTAAAATCAGGGCCCTGTACTTTCGTTCTCCGCATAGATAAGAGTATTATACTGGGTTCTCCGTCCGAAACAAATTGCTGCCAAATAAGCAATACTTGACCACATGAAAAGACGCATGATGAGAATGAAGCTTCATACTTGATATTGTGTTTTAATTGGGTTGAGTATTATTTTGGCAGTAATTGTTTCGGAAGAATCTCGGACGGAGAATGAGAACAGACCCCCAGATGCGTGCGTTAGTAAGAATAAATCTGAACCGGGTCTTATTGAGAGCTCTTGCTAATGACAAATTGAATGAATTAGATTATTGTCTAGTTTGCTCATAGGGAATCACTATCAGCCATTAATCCGGCACTGCCTATAATAGGCTCAGAATGTGCGGACACAGAAGAAGTCTTCTTAAGGCTACTAAGTCGTGTAAGTTTTGTGTAGGGCCTGCCATTACAACGTTAACTGTATAAGAACCAGACGGCAGAAATTCTACTTCTTATCTCTCGAGAGAGATAAAAAGTTGAATTATCGGTAAAGACTCTGGAGACAGTTAAGAAGTAGAATTTCTGCCGAAAGTCTCTACTGCCACTAGGGTGATTTGTTCGCACACAACGCTAGAAACAAAGATAATTTGTTTACTGAACTCCACATGACGCTAATGTGGGTCAATTATTCACACCTATTAAAAATAAGGTAGGGTAACGTATTTGACAATGAGCCACCTAAATTTTCAAGAACTGTAACTCTGGATCTATGGACCTAAATGATATACCTACTTTTTGCTTAGAAGTATAGGTAATTTAACTGGGTATGATAAAGTTGTACTTCGTTTTTGTCCATGTTTTAAAAAAAAAAAGAGAAACGGTTCAGTGTGCATACCCCATGGTACTCATTGAACCGAGGGCTGGTGCACAATGAACCAAAGGGGCCACAATGGACGTGATTATTACAATCATCAGCAAACTATTGTATTTTCCATATTTTCATAAAAATTGTGAAATACAACGCGGTTTTTGCTTTAAATAATTGGAAAAAATGAGATTTTTTTTGCATCCAACAGAAATATTAAACATAATTGAAAAAAAAACGAGCTATTGAAAACATAATAATGAAGTATAACGATAAAAACAACTTGAGTCCCACAAATTCAAAATAAAAGGTTTGTAACTCAGGCGCCCACTTTGTGATTTTTTTTTAATTATCTAACAGTCAACATTTTCATGTTTAATTTATCACTAAGTTGTCATAGGTTCGTTGATTTCACCTTAAAAGTGGTTGTTCAGTCTGCACCACCCCATACTTGTAAAATGTGAGATTATGTAGCAACGTGCCTAAAAACCCGTTGCACATTTTAACTACATCAATAAAAAGTGCATTGATGGCTAATCTATTATATCTATTAACATGCAGCTATTGCTTACACAAGTCAAACGAAACGAAATTCTTCTCCCGTGTTGTTGTTTAGTTTTTTTGATAAAAAATAAAAACATCGACGCCCCCAGGCATCTGTGCCGCTACCTCGCTGTAGACTAGAAATGGAGAGATAGTAGAAGCTCACATGGTGCATTTTGCACCAAATTCCAATATCGCGTTTCTGAGTTATTGGCGCGGTTCATAGTGTACACTTGGATCACTGTCGAACACCGTACCCTACACAAAACCCAGGGGGACTTTTGACAAGAATAAGGCGTGAGTCCTGATTCGTTAACGGTATACCGGTATATGTATAGTCTTGTGGAAATGGTCTCCGGTATCTGCAATGTCGTCAAGTTAGTTTCAAAGACTTGGAATGTTGAATAGGCGCTAGGATAGGATCCCCAAGGCCGAAAATAAAAAACCAATTATTTGTGCTCGATTTAGAAAAATTCCAACCTGCATCAGCGACATCAGCGTCTGTTCGTTGATTTGTAGGTACGCCGTACGTTGAAAAAAATGGGTGAGCGTGTACGGTGAAAACAAAAGTCGTAGATCTTTAGGGTAATGAAAAAGTTTAATTTTTCGACCAAAGCAGAGCAGTATGTTTGTAAAGAAAGTATAAAGATTTGGATTTTATTTCTAAATGAGCTTTTGAATTGTAGAATATTTCAATCAAAAAAAATTTATACGGCGATCCTTAAAAATATATATTTAAATATGTACGTACATACATATACAGGCACCTCTTATTGCCCACTTCTATTTTATTTTTTTTTTAATTCGGCATCAAAAAATTTACTGTTTTCTTTATCTTGGACTTTGAATTAAGCGAATGACAACTTTTTGTTACATAAAACTGTGATTTTAGTTTTAATACAATTCCACAGTTCAAGGAGAAAATTACACATACATATCCAAACAAATTTCGAGTTAACAAAGACAATTGCCTCGGTTAATAAAGAGAATTGTATCGCCTTTATTATGTACCTACGTGTCCGAATGTAGTTAGTTCATTAAGTTATAACCTTGACCTTTGTTATTTCTTAAAAAGAAACATTTTCTTGTTTTCAGCGAATCAAACGACGTGTTGGAGAACTCTCCAAATGTGGAGGAGTGGTTTGACTAGCGGTACATCAAGCTTCTAAGGAAGCTTCTGACATAATTCTAAAATTGAAAATTAGTAGAACTTCAAGCATTATTCAATCATCTTTGTAAACATAATTTTCACTAATACACAGTATTCATATAAGTAAATTGCTTTTTATGTTTACTTCCTCAAATTACGTCGAGCGACTAAATAAAAGACAGAGTTATATAGTATGTATGTATTGGATAAATATTTTAGACAATTACAATATGAAGTCGAAGCAAGAACAAACAACTATCTCTATTACTGCATCACACTCAATTTTCATGCAATATTGTACATTATTTAGATAGTAATCACACACAATACACAATGTGTACATGTATCAAATAAGCATGTATACTTTGCTTCCACATAACTTTCATAATATACATATAAGCTATACCACATTATAACAAGATGAAACATTAATGTGAAACAGTGTGATATATTAATTTTTTATTATTACTTTTCTCTTAACAATCCTACCATGCAAACAAAGCTTTAGCATGCTACTGATAAATTTATAACAACATTTTATGTCCAGTACCATAATACTAATTTGCCTAGATCTATGTTCTAAATAATTTCATAATAGATTATGAAAATAAATCGTCTAGTGTGTGAGATTCCTATAAACTCAAGAGCACACATCAAAGTATTATTGTTTTTGATTAATTAATCTCTATAACATACATGAGTACATTCAATGAAGATAACTAGTTACACAAGGTCTCCTTCCCTCCAAATCAACTTTTACAAGCTACTTTCCAATACCAAAATCATTAGACTGGGATAAATTATTATTACTAATATATCTCATACATGGCTGTGGACAATACATTCTTCATAATTTCGGTTTCACATAATTAAAGTTTACAAAAATAAGTTTGATACTTACACAGGAATGTCTGCGAAATACGAGACTACATTCAGTTCATAAAATAATTACTTCATCTGAGAGTCGTAAATGATAATTTCCTAGTTCCATCTCTCATTGGTTAAATAATAATCGAATCAATTACAATAATTTAATTATTAACAGGAACATTACAGAAAACTTAATAGTATGTTAACAGCGCCAATGCTTCATTCACTGATTTATGCAAGACGGGATTACGAAAAATAATATATATCTCATGCTTTTGTTCAAACATTACTGTATAAAAGTCTGTTTAGTTGCAAACAGATAACGCCCAATGATATCCTCAAATGACTAAGCCCACTGGCACGCTAAATTGTCCAATTACCCTTACAGTACTTAATTTTAACTTTTGCGCTTTTTAAACTAGTTATTCCAATTGAATTATTTCATATGTAAAGGGTGACATTCAACAGCCAAATGATTTGCTTTGGTATGATCATATTCTATACATTTTAGCAATAGAAAAAGAAGACTGCTTCAACACTTCTAAAAATTGAAAGTTTTGTGAAGATATGATTCCAAAGTTTTCAAATAAACCTATATACATACAAATAAAGCCATATTTTGGTATATTTAATTCCACATTTTAAATATCTTACAAAAACGTGATAAAGAAAATATACTTTCAAATTAACTGAAACTTTGGGATTTTAATTTACAAAATATAAAAAATATATACAAAACATAGTAGATAAATAAATATATAAGCATTCAGTTAAAATTAACTCTTGATGGAAGTGATTATGATTTACAAAATGGGCGATAGCAGATCTCTTATATACTTTATACAAAATCCACTTGAACAAACTTAAACTTGAGTTTTAGAGTCTTTTGACTGCCCAATGTATGAATATTTTGAACTAAAATATATTAATAATGTCCTATTCTATTTAGCAACAAAATAATTCAAAAATGTACACAGGATAACATTTTCATTCCATCCCGAATTAGTGCAAAGTTCACAAGTGATAGAATCAAAAACTACTAACAGGCCATTATAGCAATTCTATATTCTGTAACTGTGAACTTCTAGGTATATGTCTTATCGTGTTGTTCATGTTAAGTGGTCAATTTCTTACATATTAAAACTGATCTGCCAGCAGATTGCAAATTTCTTGTGAGACAGTTTCTTTGCTAGACCTTACTGTAAGTCTAAACATTTGAGCTTGTTTGTTGGGTTCCAGTCTCATGAGACATCCTACTTGTTGGACTCTTGTGTGTACAATACCAGCACATACAAAGTTGTCAGGGTTCGGGTCAATACCATCTAATAGCTGCATACCAAAGCCGGCAAGCTTCGTGCGCGTTGCTGACAAATCAATAGCGCCCTGAGCCTTAAATATTTTTTGTGCCCTTTGTTGCTCTCCACCTAAGTTCTTCCATCTCGCAAAGAAAGATTCTGCGTTCATTTCCGTGGGTTCAAAGAATTTATTCAGTGTAAGAGGAAGCTTCATAGTTATTTTCTGAGGTACATTGTTATAAACAAAAGAGACTGACATACTTGGAGCATCTGCAAAATCTTCAATGCATTCAGCAGTCAACATTTGCTGAATCTGAGCACCAGCTTCTAAAACTGGCTCCATTGGTTTCATCTGCACATTAAGTTTATGCAGATCTGTCCAATGTAATTCAGGACGGACAGTTTGGATTGGAAATTGTGTCTTATTGCCATAGAATAACCCAATTCGTCCCAAATTTTGCCTATACTCACTCTTAACACCAATTTGGATCAATTCATTCTCAAAAAGAACTCCATTATTTTTAAACACGAATTTCTTAGCGTTATTTTGCTGCACAGTGTTTGGACTTATTTTTGGAGTCGTGTATAAATCTCCCAGAACATCAAGCAATCCGTTACCAGTTGGAGGGACAGCATTGCCTGGAGGTGTTGCCAAACCTAGTAAGTCTGCACTGGAACTATTGGTATTATTTACAGTGTGAGATGTAGCAGCAGTTGTAGATGCAGTAGGTTGTGGGCTCTTTGATTCTCTGATATCATCAGGTATTCGCCCAGGCTTCTTCTTTTTCAACACAGCAAGGATAGATGATTCCCTTTCTGGGAATGCTGGCATTTCTTCCAGAACAGTTGCCAGAACATCAGAACTGGCTACAATGCTTAGTTGTAAATACTCAGAAGCTCTCTGTTGCAGTTCTACATCAGCAGAGCGCAGGTTTGAGTCAGCACGGAATACTTCTTGAACACGATTTTTTATTTCAGGAAATAGATTCACAAGCTTAATGTAAGTGGAAAGAAGAAGAGCTCTGGTAGCAGCAGAGCATAAATGATACTTGGAATGGAGCAGCTCGAATTGAACCTGGGGTGAAGATCTAGTATCTCCTGCAATGAGATTACCAAACTCTCCAAGTATGTATCCACCCACTTTTACCATATTCTCATGACAGGTAGGTGCTTGAAGGGCCTCAAAAACTGTTTTAGCTGCATAGCCTTGAACTTCTTCTCTGTTGATAACAATTTGGATGACTCTATACCATACTTCCTCTGAAACATAGTCTCCTGCAATTCTTATGAGATTAAGAATAACATCAACATACCAGGTAAAATCAGTAGCATATTTCTCAGCCAAAATAGCCACTTTCAACACCATTTCTTCTCTTATAGAGTAATCTGCAGTTTCCAGGTAGGCCAACATTTCTTGAACAATCTCTTCTGCATTTGTTTTATCACACATAGCATATAATAAGTCAACTGCTTGCTGCCTCACTGATACATCTTTTTCCATTTTCATAGAAAGAATCACAACTTCTTGATGCTTTTTAACAGCTTCATGTGAAAATTCAGAGTTAGCAAGATGACACATAGACTCAAGAGCCAAGTATCTCAAGTTAGTTTCCCTGTTACTCAAAAACTGGCCCAGTTGATTACATGCACGCACTAATAAATTAGGCTCACTGTCATTGTGAATAATGAGACTTATAGCCTCGAACAGGACAGCATTTTTAGCATTTGAATGTTGTACTTTCTTAGATTTGGGCGGTTCTTGAGCTTTATTGAAAATTGTTTCCAAACATTCTGACAAACGGCCCCTTACACCAGGCTCCTCTGATGGAGGATTATAGTTCTGTAGCAGACGCAAAAGTTTCACAGAGAGCCAGGGAGCAGGCACAAAGTAGTAAGTGTAATCCTGCAGATCTGTATAGCTAGCAGTCACAATTCTGCTCAGTCTGGCAACAGCAAGTGTAACACATCCCTTGTATTCTTCTGGATTTTTCTTTACTAATGCATCTATGAGTGATGTTGCAGCAGTTACCACTCCCATGTGTGGGTCATTCAGCAGATGAATAATTCTAGAAGTCCATTCTCCTCCAGGAATGATTTCGGGAGACTTACGGAATAGTCTCAGAAGACAGAGAGCAGCAGACTGCTTCACCACATCCATAGTATCTCCAGACACTAAGAGTTTAGGGATCTCTGTGCCAAAGGCTTCAGCCATGTCCTTACTACCAATATTGGCAATACATTGCAGTGCAAGGTTGACGTGGATAGGGTTGCGTGACTGCAAGTCGTTCTTGATGCTCTGAATGATCAGCTTGATCAAGTCACTGTTGGTGTTCACCAGCACAGAAATGAACAGATATCCTATCTGTTTCTCAGAGTACTTGTTAGAGGACAGGAGGTTGACTGCCTCCATATGACCAAAGTCGATGTCGTGACCCAGCAAGAAGATAAAAAGAAGTTTACAGACATACTTTTTCTTCTGATAACCATCCAGTGTTTTATCACCTTTGAACTTACTTCTTATGTTGGCTAACTCCTTATTAATTCTTTTTATCTCCGCTTCTTTACTTTTACAGTTTCGTATGTCTGATATGAAGACTGCGAGTCCTCGCATTCCATCTCCCCTCACGGCAGGCATATTGCCAAGTGACTTGTCGAACACCAGTTTTAAGCCTTTTCTTTACACTTTCCAACAAGAAACCACCTCCAGAGTATTTACACTACTCTAGACACTGAGAAGTTGGTAAATGGGCTCCAATAAATCAATTAGCGGCCGTCATCAAAAGTATCGGAAGATGAGCTTTCTTCTACAACGCCTTCCCTATTCCGTGAATCTATGAAATTGAAACGTCAGACTATTGAACTCGTTGTTTATGGATCAATATCCAATATAGTGCACAGCACGATTATTGTAATAAATATAATGACAATAATAGGTATCTAAACTATTCGAAACAATTAAATTGAACAATACCACGTTGTTAAATAAAGATAAAGAATCACAATTTTTATTGAGAAACAAACTACGCCTAGAGACAAAAGTCGTGACGTTGTATTTTTGTTGGGAGTAACACTACCCCTCTTCACCAATCAGCTGAAGTGAAAAACACACAAGATGATAAATGTTGCTAGTCATGAAATTAGATGTCGACAGAAAAGTGTTGTTCGTTTTCGTTTCGCTATTCACTTCATTCGCAAACGAAACCAATATAAGGTGAGCATTTTGCGATTCCAAAGGCCAAAGAAGTGAATCGAATTACGTAGCGACAACCCCGTGCAGGTTTTTTTTTTAAACATGCGCGAGTGAAAGAACTGAGAGGTTGTGTGCGCAGTGAGCGATTGTGACGAGCTGCTGTCATTCATTTCATTTCATTCTTGGTTAAATGGTTGTGTCGTTGTGTAGTCACGAGACCAATGTAATCCAAAAAATACGTCTCTTTGTATATTGCTAAAAATCACTGTGGTATAGACTAAATCTGTGTTTCGTGTGTATGGATTTCATAATGATGGAGTCGATACCAATTGTGCGATTGTGAATGGCTGGTGTCAAAGTACAAAACAACTAATGAATGATGCAGTCTATATTCTGGACAGGCAGAGTGCTATCACGTGCTATAAGAAATGGACTCGCTAATTTCTCCAGTGCTACTGAGTTCAATGTTTGTAAGAAACATCCTTATTTAGTGTCTGTAGTATGTGGATTTCCCAAAGACATTGCTAATGGAAGAACACGGAAAGGACAGTTCGGGGACGACGCATGGTTCTCCACTAACTTCAGCAATGCGGATGTTATTGGTGAGTGAAAATACGGTAATTTCTGTCTGAACAGCTTTAGTAGGTAGCACCACCACTACCTCCTGTTATTTGACATAAAAATTGATTTTGTGAGAGACATATTTCCTTAGGCCAACAATTCTTTAAAAAAAACTTGCACTTGGGAATTACTTAAGTATAATATAAAAAATTAACTGCTGTAATAATATAATATTTATTCTATATTTATACTATGTTTATTTACATCTCATAATTCATTTCATTTCATTTTCACTTTTCCTCCAACTTTTAAATTCCGTTTCCAGGTTACATTCCATGATATTATAAAAGTTTCCTCGTTTTAAAAACAAGTTGATCAAAACACTTTGTAAGTGGCTTAAACACTTACTGTGAAAAGCCAAGAGAAATAAGAAAAAAAGTACATTGTAGAATGGATGATTATGATGATTAAGTTCTTAATTGTTTGCGTTTAATTGTATTTGATTTTTATTGATTTTACCTGCTCATGGGCTCAATTTGTAAGTAAATTTTTGGCTATTCCTGGAGTAGTGTTCACTACCTAATTTCTGTGCAAATTTTATTATTTAAGTGTTAAATTTTTTTATCGTGAAATACTATTTAATATTTGAGTACTGTATAGTGAAATATTATTGAATAATTACATGATAATATACTTGAATATTTAAATATAAAAATTGCCACAGAAATTAGGTAGTGAACATTAGTTTGAGAATTACCATTTTATTCTGTTGCCATATCACACCCAACAGCTGGTAAAACTTGTAAAACAATAACTACTATATGAACAACCAATACAGTGATTGATTAATTTGTGTTTGGAGTCATCATCAACCTAATTTCACCCACTGCTGAGTACGGACCCTCATATTGTCCACCATCTACTGGGACCTGTCTTTGAACTACAACGCCTGGCGACGTGCGACGACGCTCGCATTAGTGCTCCCGGATCACAGTACGGTCGGCGTCTGACGCCTCACTGCGCTCAAGTAACGCGCGAAGCCGTTCGCCTGCAACCAAACGTCGACGCGCGTCGTCGCCGTTTGATCCCACATTTGTATAACGCAAACTTGTACCTTAATAATCGGAAAATAGAGATGAATATGCTGTAGGCGAAAAACTCAAAAAAACTCTGCGTCAGTGTGTGTTGAACCTTATTCTATATCGATGTAACTAGTCTTTTTGCTCTATACTCCTTAACATTTGCATTAATGTACATGTAAAGCTATCATATTCACAGGTTTTATTATTTTTTGGACTATAAAATAACACTAGGTTAGGTATATTTTTCAATAAGAATTTGAAAATTTTTGTATCTTTATTGTGTTGTTGATACTATGCCAGAATTAGTCACATAAAATCACATTTTCAATTACTTAATTTTGCATTTGTATCATTCTGCTGCTGTTAGTTAAAAGGATGCATTTGACATTTTTTCCAAAATTTTGTTCTGTATACTGCCGTGATCAGTAAAAGAATTGGCCAATCTCTTTGAACAATGTTTTCTCGGTTTTTAGTTTTTGTCACATACTCACTTTAAACTAACGGCGGCGGCATTACGTTATATCCCATATTTAACATTTAAAGCTATTTTTGGTACATAATATCTTATATAGGTAACTATAACAAGTAAAGAATAAAAAACATACTAGAAGTAAAACATATTACAAATGTAATAATAGAAGTTCTTCTATGAAGCTAATAATTGCATAAATATGCATAGCATTTATATATATGGAACATTGCATATATATATATATATATATATATATATATATATATATATATGGAACACAGTGATGGCCCACTTTCAGTTATTGAGTCTTAAAATTATGTAAGATGGTGTGTAACTTAATTAGGGATTGTTGGCAGCTTATAAAGTAAATGATTCATGCCATTTGTTTGTATAACTAAAGCAACCTAGCTTTACATGCCATCCATAAACTCAGATAGTCAAGCTGCTCGTCATACACTATCCTCAGTCACCCAAACTTCAAGGACTGTAGAGAACTGTATAACTATACTGAATACTCTCGGGGAAAACAATAATGTGGCCCTGCAATGGGTTCCAGATCACTGACGTCGAGGGTAATGAGGCAGCAGATGATCTGGCAAAGGCTGGTGCTCGGGAGGCCTTCATTCGTCTTGAGCTCTTTAGGCCATAGGGATGGTACACAACCTGGCAAAGCTCACTCTGCTGAATGAGAGCACACACGTCTCCCAAGACGTGTAGCTGCAGACTAAAGGTCTTGTGGCTTGAACAAGCAATGTCAAATGTTAAATGTAGTGTATATGTCAAAAGAGAGAAAACAGAGAATGTAGATTTTGCCATAAGGCGGATGAAACTGTAAAAGAAGAAGAAGAGGAGAGGAGAAGAGAAGAAGGCAGTACGCTCATTAGAAGGCAGCACTCTGCCTTCTAATGGGCGTACGAAGTTCCATAATGGGTAGGCTAACACTGAGGCTTAGGTCACATAAAAACTATCAGAGCTAGGAAAGTCCTTCAGTTCTTTAATGCTGTTGGCCTTGGCTCCAAACTGTAGTTAGTCGTGATCATAATAGTTCAGTTAATGGTCATAGTAGTGATGAGTATATTTTCAATTAATATTTGATAAATGTTTGACTGTAGTGAGTTGATATGGCATGTATTTTATGAAAACCAATACTTTATTATCTGGTCACCAAAAGGACATATTTACCTTTTTATTTATAAATTTGTTTGTGAACAATGTATGTTTTTCACCAGGAGTCGCAGATGGAGTTGGTGGGTGGCGTGCGTACGGCATTGATCCGGGCGAATTCTCCTCGTATCTCATGAGGACTTGCGAGAGGCTGGTGCGGATGGGTCACTTCAAACTTTCAGAGCCCGGGGACCTGCTGGCCAAGTCCTATTATGAGCTTTTAGAGCACAAAAAACCTATACTGGGTGAGACACTTTTTTGATATGTTCTTAGTTGCTGATAAGTAATTTTGGACTTTGGAATGGTGGCACTAAAATTAACTTTTGATATATACTTTTATGTGTTAAACATCAATTTATGTTTCACTGAAAAAAATGTTTCTTTAAAATTATCTAGTGTGACAAGAATCCACATTGAATTTATCATCTTCTTTAAGCCTTTATCTATTTATTAGCTATTTTTGCATTCCATATAAGCTGTTTATGTTTCCTAGGCTATATTGTAACAAGACATGCAATCACATGAAATTTATTAATGGTATTTTTTAAGATAATCAAAAATAACAATTATCGGGAAAAAAATGCCAATTACATATTTCTTTTTGTTATGCATTCATCAGTGTGTTTGAGTTTAGGGCCCAGTTACACGACGCGAAAGTTATCGCGCTGCAACCGCCCAGTTACCGCGCTTTCACGAATATTAAAGGCAAATACGAGTTCTATTTACTAGGCAACAACATTTAAATTCCTTGGAATAATACTACCACGCGGTCGCCGCGCGGTAACCCCGCGGACGCTGCGTGGCCCAAAGACAAGCTAGACTCGCTTGCGCGCCCGAGATGCTCATTTAGGTTAAGACGTAAAAGCTAAATGAATGAAGCGTATTTTTAACCGACTTCAAAAAAGGAGGAGGTTCTCAATTGGACTGTATGTATGTTACGCGATAACTCCGGTATTTGTGAACCGAATTTGAGGATTCTTTTTTGTTGTAAAGAGGGTACCTCCATAGTGGTCCCATTCACCCACCTCATCACCTCATCACCTCACCACCTAAGGGTGGCTGTTCACGCATGAAGATTAATTTTTATAAATAGCGTCTAAATTTTATTAGAAGGAGCAATTATTTTAATGATTGATTTTGCTATTCTCCAATTCAAGGCGTCTTTCTCTCTCAATATACTAAGAGTAGTGAGAACCGATTTTTATTATCTCCTGTGTCAAGTTCCATATAGTGGCGAACTAGGGGATGAATCCGGGTTTGCACACTTTCCGGTAACCGATTTCAATAAAATTTGGCAAATAGATGTAATTTCATGTATTTTTGAGGTCGGCTTTTTAGTACTCTGTACTGAGAGTATGCCATGACAGTTAGATGAAATTCGTGTGGAATAAACGCGCCTTTATATGTCCCAGATAACAATAATGTTTTATTTTATCTGAATGATTAGTTATTATGATGATGTTTTGTTTTTCATTTGTATAAATGAATAATGAAATAATTTACAAAACAATGCTTTTATAATATTATTCAATTGCTATTTGTATATTATGGCTATATTGACAAACAATCCTGGGATGCTGGTTTCTTATAATTTATGGCTATGTTATAGTTTTCTTGAATATTTTATTTTATTTTTACTTATAATTCTAATATTCCATTTTCCTTTACGTGTGTATTTATTTTATAAGTTTTAAGCGTGTTATTATTATTAACCATAACGTGTTAAGGCAGGTATTAGCAAGGGTTGCACACTTATTAGTTATCTGTAGCTGAGTCACAGATTTATCTGACATACTTGTTTTTCCTTTTATTTTCTTGATTGTCATTTTAATTAGATAAGGGATCGGAGAGAGCTGTTCAATTATGTGTAGAGTTGGTCTTGTATTTTACATTATCAATTCCGCACATAATATTATCTTGAATCGGATATCGACGCCTTACTTTTTCAAACTCGTTCTTATAAAGAGTGATTATTCAGGAGATGGCAGAACTTTCTATTTATTTTAAATTTCTTATCGAGGATGTTAATTTGGATGCATTTATGAATATAATACTTTAAGAATAGGTAATAGCATGTGTAAATATGAAGGAAATGTGATGTGAAATCAGCCTGCAAAATTTGTATTTACAATTCATTATTTGCATATCAGTAACTTTGTGCTTTAGTAGCAGTAGAGCTCCTTGTGAAAGAGGTCGTTCAGGTTCGTCCAGTGTTGTACTGCCACCTTATCTATTTCTGCCGCCACGCAGTAATGTCAGCATTACTGAGTTCCGGTTTTAAAGGGTTAAGGGTTCTGGTGAAATTACAGAAACATGGGCCTTGTTAACTTAAGTCTCAGAGTGACGGGCGCAGTGGCAGTGCCCCTCAGAACTTTGCGATTTAAAGTTCTGAGGGGTACTGCAACTGTTGCGGACAAGCGTGTAGCTTACCAGCAGGCGCACTGCTGTTTCGTACCGTCACCTGATATTATAAAAAAAAATGCGAGTTTGGGAAAGTAAGGTGATGGTATCAACTAATAAAAAATCAAAACATTCAGTAGATGCGATCTAGAAACTGACACTAATTTTCCAACTGTGTGGGAATTTATTAAAACAAGAGAACATTTAGAAAAGCAATCTTAGGAACAATAAATAATTAATAAACATGAACACAAACTAGTGGACTAATTTCATATTCAAATAATTGAGTATCAATTCAACAAAAATTTAAATACAATGAATAGCGACATCTCTAGCCGGGGCTGGTAGCTGTAAAGGTATATCTAACTGGGTGACGAAATATCCTAGATTTCTCATAGATGGCGCTACGGCTAAAAAGTCGTTGAAAAACCGAATTCAAAGATACGACTCAAGCACATAGACAAATTCGTGAGGTCCGCTGGTTCGTTCCGTGGCTTAGTTGGTATAGCGTCTGGCACGGTATGCTAGAAGACGTCGGTTCGAATCCGGCCGGATCGAAGGAACTTTCTGAGTGTTCGGTGTTTATATTAATACTTATACAAACTAGTGGAATAATTTCACATAAAAATTATTGAATATCAATTCAACAAAAATTTAAAGACAGTAATTAATTTTTAGCAACGCATTAAATTAATGAACATTTTCGAAAACTACGGTAAGCCTATCGCGGCGGCATGGCCTATTAGTACTCTTAAAGTTGACTTTGTACCAAGCAGTAAGTACGTCATGAAACAGAACGTAAATCGCGCCGCATAGTCACGTGTCATGAGAGTACAAAGTCAACCTTAATTTAGAGTATTGGATACGATGACCGACAATAGTTTCAACGATCGATGGCCAACATCTTCCCCTTTTTCCTGTAACAGTTAAAGACGGCGTAGGTAGTTTTCTTTCAATTCCCATTTTAAATTAAAACCTTTATTGTGTATAAATGTACACAAAAAGTTAATATCATGATGCTCATGTTCTAATTTATAAAGCGTGACGTTAATGCAGTACGTGTGACTCAAGCAGACTTTCCTTCATTCGAAGACAATAAAAATGATAAAGACCTCGGTGGCCTACTAGTGTGATACGTTGTTTGCCTTTAGACAATTTAGGAAATTAACTTTTTTATATTTAGTTCGGGATTTTGTTGCACTGAAACGGTATCAGAGAGTCTAGATCATTGTTTTTGTACTTTGTAACATAGAGGGCATGCTTGAAAAAGGCTTTACTTTTGTCAAAGCACACAGATAAAAGAACACAATTTAAATATTAAATCAAATAATATTTTGAAGGCATATAAAATTATGATTATCCAAAAAGAAATATGTTTTAAACACTCTAAACAACTGATACGGATAAACTTCCGCGTTTACTTTACCGGGAACTTAATAATTTTCATCGCGTCGGGCAAGTATATTCTGATCGCGATGTCAGTTTCATCTACTATAATAATGTTTATTTTTGTCGCATCCTATCCCACGATAATTGACTTAAGAGTCGTATTCTAGAACTCTACTCAATGCTCAAGTCAGGATTTGAGCTGACTTGAGTATGATTTCAAGTACTCGAAATACGACCCTAATGACAAGGACTTGAGTATGAATTTCAAAGCTCACTGCAATACTGAAGTCCTGACTTGAGTATTGAGTAGAGTTCTGGAATACGACCCTAAGACGTGCTTGCTGTTTTATTCTATTCTGATCATGCAAATGGATTATTTTAAAACAAGAAAATGAAAGTTATCATTTTACGGTAATATTATAATTTATATTATATAACGCACACACTCAAAACCCTATATCGGAGGTGCCATGTACACACACATAGACAACCACAAATTACACCCGAAGTCACGAGATAAATAAATGTAGGCCATACGAATATTTCTGTCCCGGGAGTCAACTCGGGACCTTTGCATGGCAGTCCAGCATGGTAACCGTTCGGCCACAGGGGCAGTTATAATAATCCATGTTCAAAGTGGAATAAAACGTAAAGCGTATCTTAATCAGCAAAGATCGCGTGATCGGATGCGACAAAGACAAACACTATATAGCTGCTATATTATAGCAAATGAAGCTGATATCGTGATCAGATCAGTTTCCACTACCTAACGATCGCTCGATCATAGTATATTTTACCCGTCGGCGTTGCGCTCTACGCTTGTACCAGTATGACCGTTTTTTGACATCAATCCCAGCACACCCCACAATTGAGGTGATTAATGGATCAATTGTTTACAAATATCATACTGACGGAAGTGCGTATTAACAATGAAAGATAATAATCGATAAAAAAGATAAGTAACAAACCAGCGAATTAAATATCAAAGGAAAGGTAATAAATAACACTTAGTTTCACGATTATTATCTTCTAAAGTGTCAACAATACGCTATATTTAGAATCATCATCGTATTTATGTCTATACGTTTCAATGGAGCAGTTGATCTATGAGCAAGTAGCGCTGAAGGTGCTATTCCTTTAAGTACTAGTGACTAAAAGGAACTATATTGAAAAACAGTCTTAATAGTAGGTACTACAACAACTGGCAAATGAACTGTCTAGAATAATTATCTTTTTGCCCAGGAATAAATGACTTGACGTACAACCGTTTTATCTTATTCTACACAAAAGAAATTACGGGTTGAGTCCTACTAATCCTATTGTTCAAACGAACGCAAAGTTTGGACAGATGTTTTTATACTACGTCGAAGAATTAACAGATATGAAATTTAAAATCTTATATATATAATAAAATGGACGTTTATTAACATACAAATTTTAGGTAAAAAATGCTACGAAATTCTGTAGTCTATTTTAGTTGTAACAAAATTGTTATTTTTAAAGGGCCTGCTGCTTGTTATTTTTAAAAAAATCGACTGTCATACTTAATTTCGACAAACACTATTACGACTCGACAGTACTTCGACAAAACACTGCTTCGACAACACAAACATTCGTACATAGGTCCACTACACTGACAGAAAACTACTTCGACTACATAATATGTATTCGAGAGGTTACTATTCCTACAGTGCGACACTGCAATTCGATCATATTTTGCGAAGGCCAAAGATGAACCTTGTACACAGATTTTGCAACCGTTCAAGCTTATTTAGCAGTTCCTCAGTACCGAAGACTATTCTCGGAAGGGTACCTATAATAAGAGATTGAGCTAAACAGATCTTGGATTTTAAAGGCAAAATGTTTTGGAGGCGCTTAAGCGAGTCCAGATATGGACTTTTCGGCTGACTTCATTAATGTCTGGAGTCCAAGTTAAATTACAATCGACAAGCAGACCAAGATTAGTAGCAGTAGAAGTGTAGTCAATAGGCGTTGACAGGCGACAGAACCAATATCCCAAGAGCCACGTATATGCTCACTTCCCACAATCATGGCCTGCAACCTTTTGGGATTAACCAACAAGCCCAAAGACACAACAATGAGCGATGTTACTTAAATCAGCGTTAACTGCTTCAACGGCTGCAACGACTTCGGAAGTTTTAAAACTACGGTAGACTTGCAGATCGTCAGCATAGAGATGGAAGTTAGACGCTCATAGAAGCGCTGCAGTGGCGCCTGTATCGTGTCACACGCGCGCCGCGTTTACATTCCCAAGTAGTGAATTAAAAATGACTGAAATCGTCTAATTTGAAGGCGCCCTTTAGGTATTCTGTGAACAAAGTACAGAAGCATTAATACCTAACTTGCAAGACAGTCTGAAGTTCAGAGAAAGATGTAATAAAATACTATATATTTCGAAAGCCATTCGCTGTATTTGTATAAGATCTAATATTTCATTTAGTACCTACTCGGACTGGCTTCCAATTTAGCCGTTGCTAAGCAACATATTAAACCTTAAAACACAAGGATTAATGAATTTACAAATAATATCTCACCAACAAACGTCAATACAGTGCATACCCTCGTCAAATATATGACTTGGTAATATACTGGTAATACGTTTTTAACAGAAATCGTTTTATTTCACACGCAGGAAGTAGCACAGCGTGCGTAATGATCTTAGACCGGAGCGAGAGCGTAATGCGGGCAGCTAACATCGGCGACAGCGGTTACATGGTTGTACGTTCTGGACGAGTGGTGCACCGCTCACATGAACAGCAGCATTACTTCAACACTCCCTATCAGCTCAGTCTGCCACCTCCGGGACACGACAGGAACGTCCTTAGTGACAGGTAGGCCTTTGACAATATTTAAAGGGTAGCAAGTTAATTAGAATATTTAATATCTAATTTCGGTTTTTAATATCTAATTCGGAGCAGTGTTTTGGGCGTTAATCAATTAAATTTCAATCAATAATTCAATTAGATTAAAAAATCAGTTCAATTGCAATTGATTTTAATTGCTATTGATTTCAATTGAATTGATTTTAATTGCAATTAAAATCAATTCCGGCCGGTTGGGGGCCCCGGTTGAGAACCCCGCTTGGGGGCCCCGGTTGGGTGGCCACCAACCGGGGCCCCCAGCCGGGCCTCCAGCCGGGGACCCCAACCGGGGCCCCCAAGCGGGGTTCCCAACCGGGGCCCCCAACCGGGGCCCCCAACCGGGCCCCCAACCGGCCCCCTAACCTGTCCCCAGCAGGCCCCCAACAGGCCACCACAACCAACGCCCTAACTCACCCCCATATGCCCTATAAATTTATCATAATTGTCAGTTTTAATTGTTAATTGTTAATCAAAAACATTGAAAAGATTGAAAATTGATTAATTGTTAATTGTAGATATTTGCGATTAACGATTGATCAATTGTTAGTTACGAGAACCGCAATTAACAATTGATTAATTGTTAATTGCGGTTCTCGCAACTAACAATTGATCAATCGTTAATTGCTGTTTCGCAATTGACAATTAATCAATTGTCAATCTTTAATTGCCAGAACAATTAAATTTTGCCCAACACTGATTCGGAGTAACACGCTCGCCAGAAGATTCGCGACATGTAGTAAAGAGGTGAAGTTCGCTTTTCCAGGCTTATTGCCAGTGCTTTTACACCTGCCAATTGTGGGTTAACTTCAAAAGAGCGAGCCTGAGTACTCTAAGAGTGCAATGCAATGACGCTTTCCGCATTCTTATAAAGTTACCACGCTACTGCAGTGCATCGAACATGTTCGCCGAGAAAGGATTACCTGACATCTTTGCTGTTGTCAGGGCACGTATTGCTTCCTTTTGTGACAGATTGCGTTGTTCTGATAACGGCATACTGAGAGCTAGTTCCGCAGATATGTCTGGACCAATTTTTAAGTACTGGCGTTCCAACCACACCGCGACGCAAACAGGAAATAGATTACACGAAGACCTGTATGGGTCATACCTTATTACTTTGCTCTAATTTATTTTATTTTACTCGTACATTTTATTCTTGTATAATATCATTACTGTTATATTATGCCACATTGTATATGTAAAATAGGATTTTTGCCCGAAAATAAACAATTATTATTATTTCATCTATTGACAACATGGCCGTAACGAAGAGTCCATAAAACGCCATTCTCATCATCTCATCACGCCTTATATTAATTTAATATACATTTCTGAAATAAAACGCCTGACTACTTTATCCGGCGAACTAGCTGATCGGTGAGCAAGTTCCCCGTACAAAACGAATGACTGTTGTATCGCCGAGTTTTCTAACGTCCTAAAATACTGCCTATTGAGCAGTTGTCTCTTTCACTCCTATGAAATTAAAAGATGACCACGTTCAGAATTTCCGTACCGTTTCAATTACGAATTTTTATGGCACCTGAACCCGAATGAGAGAGCCAGATTAATTAGCAACAGACGCAGTTTAGTAATCTAGAAAGAAAGTGTTACATTATCGATTTATGACATCAAACTGATACCGGATCTATGACGTCCTACGTTTGGTAGTGCTATACTGTTTATTTTTGTTGAAAATAGTAATGGCAAGTTTTAGGAATAATAGTAGTGATTATCTCTAATTTTTTAACCGAATTAAAAAAAGGAGGTTCTCAGCTAGACTGTATTTTTTTTTATGTATGTTACGCGACATCTCCGGCAATTTGTGAACCGATTTTGATGATTCTCTTTTTTGGTTCGAAAGAGGGTACCTCAGTATTGGTCCCATTTAAATTTCAAGAAAATATTCCATCTCTAAGGGTGGCAAACTAGGGGATGAATCCGGTTGCGCGCACTTTTCGGTTACCGATTTCAATGAAACTTGGCAAATAGATGTAATTCCACGAATTTTTGAGGTCGGTTTTTTTAGTACTCTGTACTGAGATTAAGGTTAAGTCATAAGTGGCTACGAAATATTATGGTGTTAATTCATACAGCTCTGTGCCACACTTGACTTTCTGTACTCTCCTGTCTGAAAACTACTCCGATCCTGCTTTGAGCCTGACTCTCGAGAATATCCTCTTTTCGCTTACTGCAACATGGACATGGATATCAAAGATACGCACTAAGCACGCAAAACAACAAAATTTGTCATTCTTTATTAGTCTTATTGATTCGTCGCTTTACTTAATTTACTTGCCCACATTGTACAGTATCTGTTTCGTTAGATTACTGAATCTCTGTCACAATCACAACTTCGTTTTCGTTGCGACTTGCTCCTCGTACTTTGACCCGAAGTGGACAAACAATTTGCAAATAAAGCGGACGCTCGTGTTTTTGTATACATAGTTTTTAAAATAGATATTACGTCTCTGATTATCGTTACAAATGACATTCATCACAATATTGTGCTAAATTGTCGAAATTTGGATCTCAATTAATATTGCGGCGGAACGGAATGCAAGCGAATTTTTGTAACGTATTGTAGACAGCATAATGAACTTTAAGGTCATGCTCGAGAACGCTCGCGCATTCCGCGGAAGCTTTTGGCTCGTTTTGTACGTTACACAGTTAAAGTTCATTATGCTATGTACAATAGTGTCACAAAAATTCGCTTCCATTCCGTTCCGCCGCAATATAAATCGAGCCTATGAGGTTCACGGTTCAAATCTCTGTGGCGGTATGTACCTATACTACCGTACATTTACGAATGTCCAACCTCGCGCTATTGCACTGGCCACACACAGGCGGCCGCGGAAGCGATCCGGGCGCGGGAATTTTTGTAATGTCCGAGATTATATGAACCCTACCCGGAACGCTTCCGCGGCCGCCTCTCTGTGTGGCCTGAGCATAAAGGTGAAGAGAAACATTATGATAAAACCTATACGTCGAAGAAGATTTCAGTTGGAGTGGTGAACAATGAACTAAATTTACTTATACTCACGCCCTTGGATTCGGGCAGACACGAGACTATAGATCTCCATTTAGCACGATCCTGATAAACCTCTCTTGCTTTACTTACATTCATCAATTTCTTCTTACAGGCCATCATATTTTACTCACTAAGAGCTCTCAATTTGATCCGAGAATGTTCACCGTGGCCGTCCTCTTTCAATGATGCCTTCCACGTTAGCTCTATATATTTCTTTCGTTAATTTACATTCATTCATCTTTTCTATGTGCTCAAACCAACTCAACATAATGACCTAAACCTTTTCGTTAAATGAGACCCGCGCCCAGCAGTGACACCCTTTTTTTCTAAGGTAATGTCATCGAGTGACACGCATAATGTGTTGGTTATGATAGTGATATTAAAACCTGTGATAGAGTATGCTCCGACGGCCGCTAAGCGGTGCTGGTGTGCATACACTGAAACTAACGTTTGTGTAAATTGACATACATAAGTACGAGCACACACCGCAGCGGTGTCCAGGTATTAGGAGGCTGTAGATATGACAATTGTGATTCATTGGCCACGAAGCGAAGTGATCCGCGACGGCATACTGATCCACTTATCTAACTTATTTGTTTTGGTATGAAATGCGTTAAAAACATCGAGTAAAAATATCAAACGATCACATCGGACTACTACAAAGTTTGTCCTCTTTTTACCCGACTACGTCAAACGATTATAGCGTTACGTACATACACATTCGTCCGCTCCGGAATTTTCATAGCAACTTTAGCGCAGGGAAGGCATGTAATTAGCCATTTTGCGAATTGGCCATCCATCTTAGTAGATGAATGGCCTATTCCAATACCAATACCAATGGTTTAGTAACCATTAATTGACTTTTGATAGCTATCATCATATCGATGATGGATGATGTTGTATTTCTTTATCATTAGGTCAGAATGTAGCTTGTCTATCAATGTGGTCATAACAAAAGTTCTTGGTTAATACAACATCCGGTAATTTTATTGCAGGGCTCTTAATGGCAACAAAATTAGATTTTGATCCTGGGTACGCAATAAAAACCGCACTATGCATTAGTTATTTGCTTTCGAATTGTATGTCAATAATATCGACAATTTTGTGATTTAATGGCATTGGCTTGACATGACATTAAGATTGAGTTGAGAACTATGCCCAAATTTTTATGAGACACAGACCTCTTATCTCGGTCGCTTCAACTACGCGGTACATCCACTCAGTATGACCTTTGGTACTCAATTGTTACATTGTCAGTTCCATTGGTCCAAGAAAAAAAATCACTATACAAAAAGTACTGCTACTTTACTTTTTGAGACGACAACTACTTATCCACGTACAGCGGTTAAAAAAACATCATCTTTTTGTTAGTAGCTTAAAATGTAATCTTTAATAAATGTTGTATACCAACGTTGTAAGGTCAAGATTTGACATCTTTTATCTATAACTACTATAGTAGCTGAATTTTTATTACGTTATTATTGCACTACAGATATTGTGTAGTAGAAAGGTGATTTAATCTAAGCAAAAGGTTAACTTGGTTAGATAACAAAGCAAACTATTATTCCACGTTTTCAGCTAATTCTGTATGTGTTGGAATAACAAGCTCGTAAATATATTCAGTAAAACCTATGCGGATACTATAGTCTATGTTAAGAGATATTAATACTATTAACGCTATACTTACAAGTCACACGATTTATCAGCATTCATGGAAAAATATACGATAAAAGCTTATCAAAAATAATCTTATAAATGTGTTCTAGGATGTTTACACAGCTAATAATAGCTGCCAAAGAAAAAAAATAGTGAAAAAGAAAATCATATAAAAATCGTCATCATTGTTTACTGAATCTGGATTGGAGTACCGCCAGATATTTTTAAATTCTAATTATGGAAAGCTTTTTTTAAAATTGTTAACACGTCGTCGAGATGAGACGTCGCA